ACGTTCATCCCTTCATATCCCTTTTGAATTCTTTGTCGATAGCTTTGTCCATCAGTTTCAATGATCGGCCCGCAAGAGGTTACCGGAGGGTCTCTCTTTGTCTCTGGTTGTATTTCAGTTCGTGATCAAAATGTTCGTCAATCGTCATGGAATTATTTCACCAAAATTGAAAAAAATGGCCTGTGGATTAATTAAAGAGTTGCAGGTCGTTTCTGAAATTCCTTAGACGTTCCTCGGTTCATATTGACCTTTGCTTCAAGTGGTTTGATGAATTTTTCGTTTAATTGCCAGTTCATCTCGCCTCTGGACGGCTCGACGGAAGGAGTGGGAAGCGAGAACGACCCGACTCGAGTGAGACGGAGGAGTGCGGTGGCTTTGTGGCTAGCAGCGGCGGCGGCCCAAGGCTGCGAGGACGGACGACCGACGACATGGACGGCAACGGGCAACAACGGGGACCCGATGCCTCTCGTCGATGCCCGATGCCCGATCCCGATGCCGCAGCTCATTCTCGCTTGTTGCAACCATCTGCAATCGGAGAGAAAATTGCAAAAGACGACGCGCGACGCGACGCCCGACCACGGCTCCCGCGTGCCCCGTGCCACTGGTGGCAAATGCTCGTCCGTTATACAGGGTGTCCCAAGGTTACAGGGTGTCTAGCATCAGGATTTTCCCGATTCTATCAGGATTTTCCTGATTATATCAGGATTAGAGGTCAATCAGGATTTAATCCCGATTTCATCAGGATTTGAGGAAAAATCTGTCGTAAAATCAGGATATGAGGAAAGTCGCAGCCGTTTGATCAGATTTTTTTATCGATCTATTTTTGTGAAGTTACATGCAGTCAATTTTCCTCCGCAAAAAATCAGGATTTGGAAAAATTATGCAATCAGGATTCAGAAGTCAAAAATCAGGGTTTCATCAAGATTTCATTAGAACTTCCCAAAATGATAAAAAAAACCTAGACACACTGCTAAATGGCCAGAATGCAGAAGTGTCCTCTTAGCGTAGAAATAAAAGACGGGTTTCCGCGGAGAAATTTTCCCCCGAAGTTTTTTTTTACTTTTTTTATTTTTTTACCAAGTTTCATATAGCAGCGTGTCGTCTAGCATCAGGATTTTCCCGATTCCATCAGGATTTGAGGTCAATCAGGATTTAATCCCGATTTCATCAGGATTTGAGGAAAAATCTGTCGTAAAATCAGGATATGAGAAAAGTCGCGGCCGTTTGATCGGATTTTTTTATCGATCTATTTTTGTGAAGTTACTTACAGTTAATTTTCCTCCGCAAAAAATCAGGATTTGGAAAAATTATGAAATCAGGATCCAGCAGTCAAAAATCAGGAAAAATCAGAATGTTCCAAAATGGAAAAAAAAAACTTGACACCCTGTTAAACGGTCAGAATGCAGAAGTGTCTTCTTAGCGTAGAAATAAAAGACGGCTTCCCTCGGAGAAATTTTCCCCCAAAGTAAAAATCCCCAAAAATCCACCTTCAGCTTGAAATTTAGGTGTTTTTCAGGCTATAAATAAACCTGATGCGAAAAATATGAAAAGTACAGTAAAAGCTCGCGAAGTCGAACTACGGTTAAGACGAAATGCTGATTAAGTCGAATTTTTTTTGGGTCCCTGGAAACGTCCATAAGTTAAGTTCCAGGAAAATAAGTTAAGACCAATTTCCGCATAAGTCAAGGTTTTTGTCCGTCCTTACACAGTTCGACTTAGCGAGCTTTCCTTGTACCTCTTTTTCCTGAGTTTTGGCCCATAATCATTGCCAAAATTAAAAGGAAACTATGGTTCTCCCAAAACCTCGAGAGGCGGTAACTCCAAGTGGGAGCACTTTCGGGGAAATGTTTCCAGAGGAAAGGGATCTTATTTTGACCCATAGAACACGCTCTAGCAAGCCAGTGGTTAACCCCCAGGACACCCTGTATGTACCTACAGCTCCGGCTCAAAGAGCATCGCGTGCTTGGTCAATCCTCACTCGACACCCAACAGTCAACGGTCGATGAAATCCTTTTCCTTTCGTCACTCGCCGTCGCCGTGCGTTAGGCTAATGTAATAGGTGTATTGTTCGCGATGCGTAGGCTTTTCCTTTCACGTTTCGCTATCATCCTCTCTTAGGCTTTCATCCTGGCACCGTTGGCGAATCCACTGCTGAATAACTCGTTTCGAAAAAAAACGAAGCACTCCATATAGAGATTAAATGAAAAAAACTGAATTTTGTCGAAAATTTTGGTGAATGGAAAATGTCTCTGGCCTATGTCATCCAGTTTCCTGGAAGAGCCCCGTAGCCATAAGTACGTGTGATTATTTTCGGTTACTGGAAAGAAAAGTCGCTTGGATTTAGAGTCCAGACTCTTGAAAACAATGACAAGGAAAAATACTCTTGATTCCATCGGATTTTTGTTTAAATCGAGAACCAAGCCTCTCAATCTAAGAGGATTTCCTTTTGATTCAAGCAAAAATCCAATTGAATCAAGAGTATTTTTTCTTGTCATTTGTTTTCAAGAGTCCAGACTCTAGATCCAAGTGACTTTTTCCCAGTGAATGAAAAAAGCGAACATTTTTAAACTTTGGAGCTGGACATTTTGCGAAATCTACGGAATTTGCGTCTATCTTTTCAAAGTAAAATGAAGAGAGGAAACAGTTGGGAAAATGAAACATTTTTACACATATGTGTGACCCTAAGAACACACTTTCCGCAATAAACAAGAATTTTCATTTTCTCCGAGTTGTTCAGTTTTCAAAGCAATTCAATTTTTAAGACGGAAAAGTCGAGCTGAATGAGCTGCAACATTTTTTCTATTATTTTTAACGTCCGCTGTCACCCTAACCCTGCACCAGAACAGGACCTTAAATAGAATCTAAATTTAATATGTCATTTGGGCGTGTCATGCGCATGGATAGTGTTGTAATGTTTTGATCTCCAAGCGGATTTTTGTTGTTGTTTTTTTTTTTTTGCGGATCGACAGGGTGACTCGACTTTCACGTCAAAGCACGAAGTAAATAGCGCTCCAAAGACGTAACACATACTTTCTTACGTGAAGTTGTATTATTTGAAAAAGTTTTGAGGGTGTTCGTTCATTTTTGTATGAACAAATGCGGGCTGCGCAATATTTAGTTTTTCATTTGTATTCGCGAACGCAATCCAGTGGAAAAATACCCTGAGCTTTTTTGCAAGTTAACGTGGCAACTAGAACGTGGACTGTAGGTGTATCGTTGTGATGACGTCATTAGCAGCAATCATATGCCATAGGCCACAGCATCTTCGCGGGCGGTGCCATTGTCTGTGAGAAAGCAGGATTCTGCCCCCATACTTGAGGACCGTGTGTCAGGTGCTGCACCGACCCGATAAAGTGTGTTGCTCAATATTTTGGACGCCCTCCATCCACGCTTGAACTTTTGCAAAGGTCTGAGTTTGCATTTCTTGCAATTCCTCTGATTCTTTCAATGTTCGTAATATCGAGTACGTTCTTGAATGTAAAGCTCAAGAAAGTCTTTGGCCGTTCGTAATTTGTCGTTTTTCATGGCAAAGCCAGCCCGATGTTGAAAAAGGGAAATCGTGGGAAAAATCGGGTTAAATTCGTGTCATTATGTTACCACAGCCGGTAAATGACCAGGAGTTAAAAATACGTTTACCAAGTCTTCTGAGACCCTAAATCTCCTCTGAGTTTGCCTTGAAAAAAAGGGAAATTAAAAGATTTTTCTGCTCAGTTTGAAGAAATTCGTCGAAGGCTCAGCGCATGAGGCTTCCAGGACTTTATGTCCTTCTACCTTTCGTCCATTAAATAAATGTCCACCGCTATTATGTCCACTAAACGTTAAGTCCAGTCTTTATTAAGTTCACATGATTTAATGTCCAACCATGAATATGTCCAAAATTGTCCAAATTGTGGACATGTTATGTCCTCATTTGTTTCTTATCATTTAAATGACAGGAACCACCTCAAAAATAAATGCATACTACTACTACCTTCATTCTTGAAAACACTTCATTCATGAATCAAGCCATGAAAAGAACAGACTCTAAGAGCAGATAAAAACATATGTTCATGTGTACACTGTACGGATATGATAAGATGAAAACCAAAGCGGGAGTCTAGGAAACGCTCCAATGCCAAATTAAACATTTTTCAGTAACAGATGCAGTCAAAATTGAAAGTCCTCTTTAACTAGTTATTTCGTGCGCTTTCAATCTTGTAGGATACTGTGCAACGCCTCTGACGCGAAATAGTTGCTTAAAGCGTTGCGGCGCCGCAGGCAATCAGCGTGACACGCGCATGGGCGCCTACAAACCTAACGGGATACTTCACGCGTTGCGCAATGCGTGAAGTATCCCGTTAGGTTTGTAGGCGCCAGTGCGCGTGTCACGCTGCTAACACGCCGCTCCGCTCTGTGTTAGGCTCTAATATTTAAACTCGCGGAGTCAGCGTTTTTCAACTCATGATTTTGAAATGTTTGCGCTCTCTGCATTGATTATTCCCTTTTAAACTGATGAAAAAGAAATATGTACTACAGAAAATATAATGTGTTTTTTGTAAATATAATAGTGGTGGTATAATACATAAATATAATAGTATAATGATTTCCAAAGCAGCTCGCCCCTTAAAGAAAGGAGAATTTGCATGTAAATTTTTTATTACTTCAACTGAAAGCGCTGAAAGAGCTGATTTCACAGATTTTTTTTTAAATTTTTTTCTGATATGGGAAAAAGTATAAAAATATATTTAAAAGCGAGAAAATGCACCGCATAGTGACGTCATCTGGCTGCATTTCCCATTTAAACACATGCATTTTAGCAGATTAGATCCTTTTGTCATATCTTCGCCAATAATTGTCCAGTTCATGAATCAAGGATATCCTCGTGTTCACGTCCCCCAGTAGTTTGGTCCCCCACCTCTTCAAAACGAAATTCAATAAATTTCAGACACCTGCAAATGTTTATTCCACTGTCTTTCGTCTAGGAAATGACGGTATACTAAGCGAATTTTTTCGGATTCTAGGTTTTCTTAAGTGAACCTCCTCGTAGGTACATGAATTGAACAGGAAGTGAATAGAAATGTGTGTCAAGTGGAAAAGTGGATAAAACCTATGAAAAGCAACGAGAGCGTATCGTCGGGAGTGTCTCCGTGAGAGAACTAAACGTGACGTGCCAAAGTGCGGATTAAAAGCGTGAGTGGATTAAAAGTGTTAAATGGGCGTCGGGGAGTGCTCGGACCTGGAGCGGGGGCTCTCCCGCACGGCTCTGGCCACGATTCGAGGGATCCTCATCTCCTCGCTGTCCAAAGAAAACCTGGGCCCTATGGAGACGTACGCCCCCGAGCCGGCACCCCCGCGCCCGGTGGCGCCCACCCGGAAGCATAAGCGCCGCGTCACCTTCGACAGCGGCGCCCTAAAGGCCAGTGCCCTCGGCGACCAGCAGGCCCCCGACGAGAAAGGGCGCCCCGTCTCCGAGGAGTTCCACCACAGCTACGAGAGCTACGACAGCATCAGCCTCGACGACTCCTCCGGTAAGCTGCCCCTAAGCCCTCTCGCACGACCCAAAATTGGACCGCGTTAAAAAGAAAGAAACCAAGCCACATCAGATATTGCCAAATTTAATCGGGCAATTTTTTATCTTACATGAAAACAGTTCTGAGAATTTTTGTGCAAATTTCAGTAAATTTTCTCCATAGTATGAAGCAAATTCCTCAAAATTTTCATAGAAATCCGCACAAACCTTCTCTCGTAAAAAATTAAGTTGCCTTGCTAAATTTACTAATAGCTGATGTGGCTTGGTTCCTTTCTGTTGAACGCGGTTCAACTAGCACTAACTTTTCACAACAGCCTTTGAGTGAACACTCTGAGAAACATTTTCTGAACCACTAACTCCTCACAAAAGTCTTTGAATGAATACTCTGAGAGAATTGTCTGTACTATCCACTAAAATTCCGATTAGAGGAATAGCAATAGGTCATAACTGTTAATAACCTCACAGGAATTTATCGTCGCCACGTCTTAGAAAGCTCAAGAAAAGCTCAAAAAACTTTCAGCGTGTCCCGGTCCGTAAAGTTCGGAAATGATACTCGTTTTTTGAAGATTCTCCAGAAGTAGTAGAAAGTACGGAAATGCGGCAAGAAGGTCCGGAATTTTTCGTTTCACGTCACGATTGTATTTTCGCCAGCTAGATCGCAAGGAATTGTGCTGCCAGTTGATTCTCAGGCTACCAATGAGCCTCGAATTTCGTGGCGAAGTCATTATTGGCGCAGTTCGCGCGTGAATTCCAAATTTTTGCATTTTTTTAAAACATTTTGTCACGCATAGGAAAGGGCATTGTTTGGGAAAGCCTTGAAAAAGTATTGTAAAAGTAGTAATTTTTGGCCAGCCATTCTACCAGTTCGGACACCCTGATCTCCTCAACTTAATTTCCTGTAAAATATTTCCAATGAAAGATTATCTGACCATTTTCTCAAGATTCTCCACATAGTGTGCTCTTTCTCAGGACGGCGAGTGATGCAAACTGCCGTTCTAAGGATAAACGCCGTACAAACCTGTACAAACCTTTAGGCGTTGCCAAATTTCCTCTGGTAAATCACGAATTTTTGGAAAAATCGTTAGTATTTTTTCTCCAATTTTTCAGACAACTCGGTTCGCAAGTTCACCCAAAATTTCTGAAAACTTAAAGGAAAAATCGTCACCTTCTAGGCAAAGTATCACAAGCGCCATGCGATTTTGAAAATTTCCGCCGCCATTTTATTTCTTTACTGAGAAATTGTTGGTTGAATCTGTTTGGAAATTTCACTACATTTTATCGGCAGCACAAAGAAAATTCAGTGAAATTTTCGGACAGCTTCGTTGAACAATTTCTCTGTAAAAAAATAAAATGACGGCGGAAATTTTTAAACGTCGCATGGCGCTTGTGATACTTTGCCTGGAAAGTGACGAAATATTCACAGCTTTTCTAAAAAACGAACACTTTATCGGAAGAAATTTGGCAACTCTCGCATGTTGATACGGCGTTTTCCTTAGGACGGCAGCGTGGGTGGGAGACGAAACACTGACCACCGACCAGGGACACAGGGTTCGGTGGGAGCAAGGGAAGCCGCGTTCTCTGCCCCTCTCCACCCCCGTCGCCAGCGTCGCGTAACATCGATGCAAAAATGCCCTTGGCCGCGAACTCCTTCCTGGGTGCAGTTGAGTGTTGACGTTGACGCCAGGCGCGCCGCGTACCTCTGCGGTGACGTCCAACACGCGTTCCCTCACACACTCCCTGCCCCCTGCCCCCTCTTCTTGGCACATCGCAGCGCCACAGTCACTGTTCGACGCTGTTCGCGCTCTGTTCGCTGAATGCAGCCCCGCCCGAGGTCCCGGCCAATGGTCGGCACTCAAGTCGTAGTCATGGCGAAATCTACGAAAAACTGCGCACCGCCGAAAGAGAGTGATGCAAAACGGCCAAAAGTGGTCCGGCAGGGATTGTACGAAACTTTATGGGATGATTGTGTAGGTCTTTTTGGGCCGACATCTGGCTGCTTTTAGGCGAAACCCGCAGGGAATCGACGTTGCCATTTTTTAAAGTCATAACATTCAAATATGCACAACTTTCGCAAAAAAGCAATTACAGCGCTCGTATATATACCAAAAATCGCAAATAATTACGTTCCATCGACCTGTGCAGAAGAAATTTCAATTCGAGTCCACTGTTACCATATTATGGCAATTTGTTTAAGTTTTCATACTTATTAAATATCACACTACCGCCTAAAAGTGTGTTTGCAGTTGGTGGGGATTGAATAAAAGCCTAATTATTGTTCGCTCGATTCCGCATCCATCGACATGTTATACTTCGGAGAGGTTTAGGAGATCCGAGTTAAAGCGATTTAAAAATTCGGCTACGCTCCCGACACCCGATTTTGACGCTCGTTTAGCTACGTCTTGCAACTCCGTTGAAGCAAAACACCTAAACCAAACAAAACTCGAACATTCATGTTTTGCGCTTTTTTAAAACTTTCACTTGATTTTTGTGGAAAACATTCACAAGTTCTGCGGACAATTCATAATTTACCAAAGGCAATTTGACGACGGCTAAAGGCTAATACCTCGCTCTCCTTAAGCACGGCAGTGTAGTGCTTAATTTATTACTCCGTCTGTTGGTCCATTACATTGCGTAGGTCGGGTGTTGGTCTGCCCTCCGAATTAGATGCCCGGCCAAAGCTGCTCGGATCGCTCTCCTCGCAGCGTGTCCGTCTCCTCTCGTCCAGTTTCGGATTCGATTATTTTTAACACGGTATGCAGCATATTTACCAACATGCCAAAATATCATAAACCATGACTCACGTTTTAAAACTGCAGTCACGCGCAGCAGCCTAAGATTTTCATTTCCTCTCTCTCGGAGCATCGATGCGTCGGTGTCGGTTACTCCTCTTCCACCGTTCCATTTGCACCCACCAGGTATCGGACAACGCATCGCGAGGCCCAAGGTGGGATTACTTTGTTTGTTTACTCACTTTGTTCTTCGACCAAAGTGACAACAATAAGCGAAGAGAACCGTGTTTTTATTGATTCTTCGGCGGATGTAGTGTCAACCGAAGTCAGAAACGACACGTCTTGTGCTGAAAGCACTTTTTTCTTTTCTTTCCAGAACGAAGTCGTCTTGAAAGATAGAATTGAAGACAGATTACGAGTCACATGCTGGATGTTTTGATCCATTGCTCATTAGAATGTGCGCGTGACCTTAAATGCAATTTTTCTGCCATAAAACAGCATTGTTTTTTTTTCGAGTAGGATACTTTTCGGAGCAAACTATACAATCGTGATCTATAGGAGTGTTTTCCCGTTCCGAAATATCCACAAAATCATGGTGTCACTCCCAACTAAGCAAGATATACTATGAAATCTTGAACATATAGTGCTGAATGTGCAGCTTCAAAGATGTGCAGATCATAATATAACCGGGGGCACGCTTCCTGGCTGCCACGCGACCCAACCCCCAGAAGGCGCTACGCGCCCTTGTGATTGAATTTAGATAGAGCGAGCTCATTGAGGGACTAATGCCTATCGATAACCGCAAAAATCATGAAAATCGGCCTGGTAGGTCCTTAGAACCAACTGTGACAGAGAATTAAAATTCACATCGCTTAAATGGGAGATTTCACAACTTTGGCACATAATGTACAAAAACGTGCCAGGTCTTCTAAATCTGAATACAGCAGATTCATCGAGGGACCATCACTTGTCGATCGGTCGGAGAAATCATGGAAATCGGCCCAGTAGAACGAAGTGTAGCAAAAAATGAATCCAGGGGGCCAGAGAGCTTATAGTAATGACTCGGAAAGAACAAAAAAATAATTGAAACTCCGGACTATTCCAATGCGTAAAATTCAGCCATGCGTAATAATCACGACGGATTATAATGAGGAGGTGAGGCGATCCCTGGAAGATCGACCTTGGACGTCCACCGTGTCCGAGGTCAGAGCGGATTTCACAAGTGACGTCATCTTCTTTCGGTGTCCAGCAGGTTCAGCGGCCGGCCTCGTGTACGCGGCGGACGGTGGGG